GAGGGCGGCCCGCAGCAGCGCCTGCTGCGCCTGCCCGTTGGGCGCGGTGAGGCTCGCGCTCTTGCCGTCCTGCCGCACGCAGCTGCCGAGGAGGGAGAGCCCCGGCGTGTCGCCATCGCCGCTTGGCTGCAGCACTGCGGCATGGCAGCCCTCGCCGCGGCCGTAGCCGTCGGCGCGGCTGTCAAACGAGTGCGAGCGGCCTCGGGGGGAGGTCATGCCGGCCACGGCCATGCTGATGCACGCCGCCTGGCTGAACATCATGTTGACGCCGAGGGCGAGGGCGGCAGTGCACTCGTGAATCTGCAGCGCACGCAGGCCACCGTGCGACGCGACGAGGCCGCTCGAGCAAGCTGTGTCAATCGAGGAGCAAGGCCCCTGCAGGCCGAGCACAAACGAGAGGCGTCCCGCCGCCACCGAGCAGGTGGCCGCAGTCGCCGAGTAGACACTCGACGCGAGAGAGGGCGAGCGAGCCACCACTTCGCCAAACTCGGGGTTCCAGATGCCGAGGAAGACGCCCGTCACGCTGCCCAGCAGCTCCGCCTTGCGCATCGCCGCGCCGTGCAGCGCCTCGTAGCCGCACTCAAGCAGCCTCCGCTGCTGCGGGTCCATCGCCGCCGCCTCGGCAGGCGAGACGCCAAAGAAGCCGTTGTCAAAGAGCTCCGCGTCGGCAAGGAAGGAGGCGCAGCGCTGTCGAGCGACGACGGGCTCAGACACAGCCGCGAAGCGAGAGAGGTCGTCTGTGTCCCAGCGGTTCGCTGGCACGTCGCTGGCCGCATCGTGGCCTGCTGCAGCCATTCGCCACAGGCCGCGGATACCATCGCCTTGCGCGCCGTCGGGAGCGATGGCACACATCGAAACAAGCTGCACCAGGCGCCCATCTGCGCTGTGGACTGTGGCCGCTGCTGCGCCTGCCGGAGCGGCGCCGCCGAGCGAGCCGAGGTGGCTGGCGAGCTGTCGCACGGTCGGGTGCTCAAAGACGAGCGTGCTTGGCAGCGTCGCTCCCGACGCCCTCTGCAGCTGGTTGCGCAGCTCGACGGCGCCGAGCGAGTCGAGGCCCGCCTCCATCAGCGGCGCGTCGGCGTCCACCTCTGCCCCCGCTGTCTGCTTCACCATCTCCAGCACCTCATCGACGCCGATGGAAGAGGCTCTCGCGCGAGAGGCAACGGCCTCGGTCGATGCCGACGCCACGGCGGGCGCCACGGCCCTGAAGAAGGCAGGCGCGTCCCTCGCGCCGCTGAGGAAGCGGCGCCAGTCCACGATGATGGCCGCCACGACCGGCGAGCCGCGAGGAAGCAGCGACGCGCCGAGCGCCATGAGCCCTTGCGCGGGCGAGAGGAGCCCGATGCCGCCCGCCTGCAGCCGCGCGTTCACCCCTTGCCCCGCCGCCATGCCGACTTCTGCCCACGGCCCCCACTGCACGCTCGTCGCCGCAGAGCCGCGGGCGTGCCGCGAGGCGGCGAGCGCGTCGAGGCAGCAGTTGGCGGCGGAGTAGTTCGCCTGGCCGCCCCCGCCCAGCAGCGCCGCCACCGACGAGAAGAGCGAGCACACATCGAGCGGTGAGGCGGCGCATGCTCGGTGCAGGCCCCACGCGCCGTGCGCCTTGGGAGCGTACACGCGCTGCAGCGTCGCCGCCGTCTGGGAGGCGAGCACAGCGTCCGCCAGCACGCCCGCCGCGTGCCACACGCCACTCAGCGGCGCCGCATTGCCATCTCCGCTCGCCGCACAGCACAGAAGCCGCGCCACACTGGATGGCTGGGCGGCGTCGCACGCAGCGGCGAGGACGGTGCAACGCGGCGGCAGCCGGTCAGCCACTCCGCCAGGGGCGACGGCGCCGTTGCGAGACGCGAGGATGAGCCGACGGGCGCCGCTCTCTGCGAGCCACCTGGCTGTGACTAGGCCCAGCCCGCCCAGCCCGCCGGTGAGGAGGTGCGAGCCGAGGGTGGGCGCGTCGGTCTCGGCGGAGGGCGGCTGGGTGCAGGGCTGTAGGCGAGGCGCGAGAAGCAGCCCCTTGCGAAGGAGGAGGTCGGGCTCGTCGAGCGGTAGAGCGCTGGCGACGGCGACGGCGTGCGCTGCACTCGCCGTCGACAGGTCGAGCTGGTGCAGGTCTGCGGCGCCCTCTGCTCGCGCCGTGCGGGCGAGGCCGAGCGAGCCGGCGTGGTGGGAGCCGGGCGCGGCGCTGGCTCCGTGAGCGTGCGCGCCGGCGGTCAGCAGGACGAGGCGGGGCGGGGCTGTTGAAGCCGGCCGCACGCGCAGCAGGGACAAGGCTGCTTCGAGAGTAGTCAGTGGCAACGAGGCTGCCCGGCCCACCGCAGCCGATGCTGCGAAGGAGAGGCCGCCGAAGCGATCGGTGCTGCCGGCCGGGCTCGGTGATGCCTCATCGAAGCCTCTCTCTCCTCGCCTCGAGCCCAGGACGAGGAGCGACGCCGTGGCGGTGACAGGCGTCGCGCTCCTCTCCCACGAGGTGACGTATAAATGCCGCACGCGCTGCGCTGACGCGTCGAGCGACGCCTTGAGCGCACGCGACTCGAAGCCGGCCAGGCGCACGCCCGCCGAGCCGGCGCCGCTGGCGACGACCACCCCGACCGCCCCGCCGCCCTCCCGCTCCGCCACCGGCCACGCCGTGCCGCTCGCATCCGCCAGCGCCGCCTCGCCCACAGAGAAGGGCAGCCGCGTCTCGCCCGCCCCAGCCTCGGCGAGCAGCGAGGACAGGTGCAGCGAGCCGTCGAGGTCGGCCGGGTGGACGCGAGTGCCCTCCTTGCGCGAGCGGCGGCACAGCCGGCCGACGGCGGCGCCTGCGGCGCGCGAGACGGCCGCCAGCTCGGGCGTGCGGTACCGAGGGCCGTACTCGAGGCCGACCGAGCGGAGCAGCGAGTACAGCGAGGCGGCGTCGACCGCCTCGCCGCACGAGGCGCGAGCCGCGGCGAGCGAGAGGCCAAGGAGCGGGCCCGACGCGGCCGACGCGTCGCCGGCGCAGTGAGCCGTCGACGTGTCGCCGCCTCCCTCGTAGGTCACCTCGAACCGATCCTCGATCACACCCACCCGCACCTCGCTCAGGCCGCCGTCCAGCACGAGCGGCTGCAGGAAGAAGACGCGCCTCAGCGACGCGCCTCCGCCGCCGCCAGAGAGGGAGACGCACGCCGCGCGAGCCATCTCGAGGTAGGCGGCGCCGGGGAAGACGACGCGGCCCCGCACGACGTG